TAAATAGCTGCTTTCCCCTCACACCCACCCTCTGACTTCAGTGCAGTATGAAGTGGTTTATCAGGTCATGATAAACCACAGCATGGGTCTGTTTGACTCTGTCTTCAAGAGCAAATATTTGGCAAGAACAAAAGTTATGGGGACTTTCAAGGTGCTTTCAAGGCTTGGAAAATCTGGTCATTTCATTCACATGCTGCAAATGTGAAATTACCCACAAAATATAAGGAGCAACTTTGAAAATCTTATTGCAGCAAAATGTCTTCTGAAAAGATGGGTCCGGTGTGTGATTTAGATTTAGAGCTGAGCCAAGAAGTTGTAGCAATGTTTAAGGCTTGAGAAAGAGTCAGATAAAGCTCCTGGTTCCCAGAGGCAAGTGAAATGCCACAATTGCAGATTCCACATTTAAAATATGTCTCTGAGCCCTTGGTAAACTTCAGAGAGTCTGAAGTTTACCTGGGAATAGTCAGTAACACACTAATGTGTCCCTATGGCCCTGTGCATCTTCCAGCAGGGAGGAGACCTTTAGCAAGGAGGGAACAGATCCTTCATCAGCACACAGCACTGGCACAGTGTCCCACACAACACTGGGACAGTGTCCCACACTGCACCCCTCAGGGCAGATGCAGAGGATCACTCCATCAGTGTCCTACCCAATTTAGATGCCTCTGCAGGGCAGAAGAGCAGCAGAGGGGCTACCTGAGGGGACCAATCCACACATCTCCTGTGCCCAAAGGCACTTCATCCTTATCTGGAGCTGATGCTGCACAGAGAGGGCAGACACAGGCAAGGACTATTAGGAAGGCAGATTTTAGCCAGTACAAAAGATGCCAAATTTCGCCTGAATGCTGCTCAGTGTCATCCTCCAGGATATTATTGAATTTCATAGATGCATTTTGAGATCCATGGCAGGTGCCCAGCTGGCAGGAATCCCTCAGTGGCAGGACTGAAGGGAAGCATTGTCTGTGCTTCCGACAGGGACCGGGATCTCTGTCCCAGCATTAGCCATGCAGTCAACTTCCAGGGAGCTCTTGGCTCTGCTCAGCTCAGCTCCCTTCAGGAGATGGCCTCACCCATCCTCACTGGCTGTGAGCACAGAAAGGGAGGTCAGATCCCAGCCTGTGTCTTTCTTTATGGCAGGACCCTCCTTTATGGCTCATTGCCAGCAACAGTAGTTGGTGCTTCACAACTTCCTGCCTCTGTTGTGGGGGGACAAAAGGCTTTCTCTTAGCATGACATGCTGGGAGACAGAAGGCACCTCCTCTGCCAGAGTCTATGAAATGGTGGTCTCAGCAGTAGGGAAAAAAATAGCTTTTTGGGCTGCTGAGTTTGCTGGCATCAGCAAATGTCAATCCACACACTGAAACAGCTCCAGAATGCTGTGGGCTGATGGCAGCTATTTCTGCACCAGTTCAGTGGATGAGGGAGTCCCACCTGGTACACAAAACATTCCCACTTCCATGTTTTGTTCAGAGAGAACATTTCCTTTCCTAATTTTTAAATTTTAAAACTGCTGCTTAAATGCTGTGTGCGACTTGAGTGCCTTTCCCTCTAAGTAATTTTGCAGAGGAACCCACACCAAGCCAAGGACTGATGGGAATTGTCTAGGCTCTGCTGGGCTCATCCTCATCTGAGTCTACCCTTAGGTGCACACCTGACTGCCTATTCCACAGGCAAATAAGTCATAGCTGAGCAGAAAGAGAACTTGAACAGGACCTAAATATTTTTCTCTATTTTTATATGTATATATATATATATATATATATATATATATATTCTTGACCACATGAAAAAGTTTGCAAACTTTAGGCAACACAATTAAATCCATTTATTGAAATGCTTTGGCAATGAAATCCAAATTTATGTATTTTGTACATTTGTTTTATACCTAGCTTGTTCAAATGTACCTGGAGGAAAATGGAGGTAGACAGGAATGTTTAGGCAAGGTGTGTTTGGCCACATCCCCACAGTAATACTCTGCTCTTTTATGAAGTGATAGAAAATTTTAAATAAGTGGAAGGGATGGACTTAATTTCTGTGACAGAGCACAATCAAAAGGCAAGTAACATTAAGAGTAAAGCAGGTCCTTGGTTCATTACTGATGGAATTAGCAATTCCTCTTCCACTTCCCTTTTTAAAGCAGATGAATGTATCCAAATAACAAATATAGATATGGATATATAGATATATAGATATATAGATGATATATAGATATATATATATATAGATATATAGATATATAGATATATAGATATATAGATATATAGATATATAGATATATAGATATAGATATAGATATATAGATACAGATATAGATAAAGATGTAAATATATAATTACCTATATGTCTTGAGTTTCCTCTGTGACAGGAGATACTGAAAATTCACTGCAAACCCACACAAAACAAGCTCTATTCAGTGACCTCAACCCATTTCAAACCCTCTTGGCTGAGACACCAATTGGGGGCAGATGTGACATGGGGCCTCCAGGAGATACACATCCTTCCAGCCCAGCTGGGCCTCCCCAATGGGCCTAGAGATGTCTGCTCAGTCAAGAGATGTGAGTCCAGGATTTCCAGACAAGACAAGGCTGCCAAGGTTCAGATGTGAATTTTTAGGCATTTATGTAACACATTGGATGTCTGCTTTTTACTAATTTTACTATTGCATTTAACCAACTACAATCAGAGTCCTTTTTCTGTTGGGTTTGATTGTGAAATAAAAAACTGTTCAAAGGGCTGCCAATGCATGAACTAGTTTATTTCCTAAGTGCTGCATCTTGTTCTGTCCTGCTCCTCCAGCTATTAGAAAGTAGGTCTCACTTTTTCCAGGATGGGTCAGGTTACCAGAGGAAGGTTTCTGGTATCTGGATCTAAGGGATCTGGATCTAAGGGATCTGCAGCCAATCTCAGACTTTGGGACCAGCTCAGATCCTGCCCATCAGGGCTTTAGCTCTCATCACAACCTGTCCTGCTGCTCCCACTCCTTTCTCAGTATGAGGGTGCCTGGGCAGAGCGGCCTGGGATGAGACATAGCACATTTTCTTCTGGTGGAATTTAAAGGGATTCTGCTCATTCCCATAGTAATTTTTGAGGTAGAAACATAAAAGATAAGCCTTCTGCTTTCCTTTTATGATTTGTACCATTATCTTCTGCTGATCTTCCTGCACCTACATTTTCTGTACTTAAATTCACCTGTATACATGTCAGTAACCCCTTTAAACAAGCAGAATGTCCTGGAGTAATGGGATTTTCTGGTTGTATTGCCTTCCATTGTATCAGTCCCTGATTGGAAGGGATTTGAAGAGCACCAAAACAATATAAGAGTTGAGAGCTCAAATTCTATTGGAAACCTCTGGAAAGTTCAGTTTAGTAAAGTGAGGCAGCAAAGCCCTTGGATATTTGAAGATCACAATAAAACCCTTGGATGTCTATAGATTTTGACACAGTATAACACAATGTGGGAAGAGATGTATTTAGGGTAGGTATAAAAAGCTTGATTTTTCATTTATAGTAGCTTCAAGTGGATTTGGCTTTGTATTTGAGGCAAACTGCTTCAAAGACAACAAGCAAGGGAAATCACAGGCTTGTTCAAGAATCATTCCCAAGCAGAAAAGCTCTTGTGATTAGGGAATAATCTTCACAAGGGAACATGTATCTATATTGATGCCACACTGACTCTCCCATCCATTACAAGATTACAGATGCAAGGTGAAACACTCATTTTGTCCTTTGTGCACTGCAATCAGATTTTTGGGGGGAAAAACTTTTTTACCCCAGGATTCTGCCTTATTCTGTAACATGCAATGGCCAGGGTTATACACAGGAACCCTGCCTCCTTCCTTCACTGCTGAGATAAAAGACAAAAGCCTTCCAGGAAAGCCAAGCTGGATTTGTGGCCCAGAAGCTGCCTGTGGAAGCTGCAGCCGGTGCCCAACACCGAAGATAAGATGATGTGATTGCTGCTGCTGCTGCTGAGTGTCAGCACGAGTGTCTGACGGTGAATTCTGCTGCTCCGTGCTGTCCTTGCCCTGCCGTGGCTGCTGCTGGCACTGCAGGCAGAGCCCCTTCCTAACTCTGACAGCATCGGGGCATGCTCGGAATGAACTCACCCGAAAACACGCTGAAACAAAAGCAAAAGCCATGATTCTTGCTAAACTTCCATTTTCTGCTGCAACTGCACTGGGAAGCAGTGACACACCGTGTTTTATCCGGAGACTGTTTATCAGCAGCCATTAGCAGACTGGGAATGCAGCACTGGAAATCCCCCTCCAGCTCCAAGCCTAAATCTTAGCAGAGCTGGTGTAACACAGGCAGAGAGATTTAAAGCTGCCTCACACCAATAAATCCTGTGCTTGTAAATGGCAAACTCTACCTGTGTCACACACACTTAAAATCAAAGATGAACTCAATCTCCACTGCAGCTGGGTATTGATTTACCTACATTGACTTAAATTCCTGTATAGTAAATCAAGAGCTACCAAGAACTGACATGAAACTGCAGGTTAAAGGCACTTGTCCTGAGAAAAATAATTTTAGCAGGATTAATTATTTTTGCCTGAGTTTCCCTCTGGGTATGGTTGGAACAATCACAAGCAGGCAGGTTAGTTCCTCAAGGCATGTAAAAGTCAACACTGAAAGGAAGAAAGCTCCAGGACAGGCTGGAAAAGCAGAAGGCAGCACATGCCACTGTGTCCTGCAAAGCTCAGCTGTCCCTGTTTTCATATGGCCATGTGAATTCTGTCACTTTCCTGCCAGACTAAAATTAAGTAACTGAAGCCACTTGCATCAGCAGTCTGAGGTTAAATTAAACCATTGGGGAACCTGGAGAGGACTGGATTCTGTGCCAGCTTGTAGTGGAATTTTCTGAAGAATGTCTGAGGTGAGGAATATTAATAAGAAAATCAGAAGAGTGGATGCATGCAAATGACAATGATGCATAGTAAGAGGCAGATTGTTTCCTAGCAACACAGGCTTTAGGCTGGTTAGTTTTGGTTAGCATTTTCTCACTAACAGCTGCAATTTGTTTCTGTACTGCTGCTCATTTGCCTACCTGTGCTGAAAGAGAGGAAAAGCAATGGAGAGCACAGGGTAGGATCTGTGTGTGCCAGGCTGTGATTGCAGGGGAGAACTCTGAGTGTGGGGAACCTGCCAGGAGCCCAAAAACTGGTGAGTTGGAGGTGTCTTTTCAAATGCCCATTTCTGCCATGTGTGAACTAGCTCTGACCTGGACCTTCTGCTTCAGGCAGCTGAGCCAGAGCACATGAGTTTCACCCCCACTGCATTTTGTACTTCCCTCCTCCCCTGTCTCTGTTCCATAGTACCATGTGCTCCAGGAATACCCTATGGCTAATTCTGCTCTCAGTATCATCAGTGAGAGACCCTTGACTTCACTGGTAACAGGGCAGAGCCCTTTTATTTATTTATGGATTCTGTCTGTGGCTTTATTTGCACCATATCCTCAGAGAATAGTGTAGAAAAACAGCTCCTGTATGTGTGTGTGTGTTGATGTGTGTGTTATGTCTAGGTCTTGGCATACTGGGACCTCTGCTCACCTACTACAAGGTAAATAATTAATGATTGTATGTCTGTTAGAAATCTTTTCTGAAGGTGTTTGACAAATGCCTTGTTCTGCTAAGGTGCTACAAAAGCAACTCCTAATAAAAATCCCAACCATCCCTTTAAGGCAGCATTTGTGACCAATATGGGCAGTGTCAACTTTGGGGCTTTCCACACAGACACGGTGGAACAAGCTCTGCTTTCTCCATACAGACCCTGCTGCCTTCTCCCCTGCCTGTCAGTACTTCCAGCAGCCAGCCTCCCTCATCCTCCTGGAGAGCTCTGTGTGTTTTAAATCCAGTTTCCTTTCTGCAAAAGGAAAGAATGTGAGAGATGCTTTAAACAGCATGTGAGTTTTCACATTGTCCTTAACTCCTCTGTGCTGTGTGTGGAGAGCACAAATTTCACCCAGTTTATGTAAATGCTGTGGAATTGCTGTAAGAGAGGGCAGCACAGTCAGGGACACCAATTGTTGCATTCCAAATGAAATGGGCTTGTAGTCCTATATCCTCCACTGATCTGTCTGCAGCTCCAAGTGTTTAAAGCCAAGGACCAAGGCTTTTTTAATGGCAGACAAAAACTAAATATAGGACATAAACAGCCAGTCCCATGCACTGAATGAAACCTCATTTCCAGTGGCTCAATGACTTTCGGATCTGCTGTTTTTCCTAGTAAAGTGCAGGGGCTGGCATGAGCTTTTCTCATGGCTGGGCACCAGGCTTTTCCAATCCATAACATCTCCAGAGGGTATGGCACCAGCTCCTCTGTCTCATTTCTGTCCTGAAAAGAAAGGCTTTAGAATGTCTCATTAGCCACAAGAAAACTCACACAGGAGAATGAGTCTGAGAAGTGCCCAGCCATGAGAAAAGCTCATGCCAGTACCTGCACTTTACTAGGAAAAACATAGATCCAAAAGTCATAAGCCACTGGAAAGGAGGTTTCATTCAGTGCATGGGACTGGCTGTTTATGTCCTATATTTAGTTTTTGTCTGCCATGAAAAACTGTCTGGGTAAGAGGAACACAAGTTTTTGATGTACAAAGAAAGCAAGAAAAGGGAGAAGAGACTTCACTTATTAGAGTTATTTAAAACTCAGAAGTCTTTGTGCACAGCTGTTCAACTTGAATAAGCAACCTCTCTCTGAAAGAGTCAGCATTGCCCCTCCTTCAGTGCAGAGCTGGGAAAATGCCCATCCACATCCATTAGTCATCCACACAGCCTCCAACAAAGGCTGCTCTGGCTAGCAGGAAAGTGTAAGCCCTAAACTTTTCCTGGCCTGAGCTGTAAGTAGATGAGAAAAGGGAGGAAGGGACTATGGAACTATTTATTTGCCTTTCTGTTTGGGTTTAGAAAGACTGAAGAACAGAAACAGTCTCTAGGAAGGTGCCCAAATGTGACAGTGAGACCCCAAACCCCAGCAACTTGCTTTAAAACCTCGACCTACCTTATCCAAGCTCATCAAAAATATCTGCCACCTTATACTTTTCACAGATCTTTGGGAGAGGATGCTGCAGAGCTGGGAAGGCTTGCACACTCCTGGAAACCCATGGAAGTACAAGGCCAAATTATGCCAGGGATGTTGACTGCCACAAGCCACTGGCTAAAATCATGGGATTCCCTCTTCCATGGGGTAAAACACATGTCAAAGCAAAGGGCACAGCAGTGCCAGACCTGCTCATAATGGATGCTGTAAATGTGAAAATAATGGATTTTTAAGGAGGTACTGAATGGTGTTGTTTCTATTTAGCAATGTTTTGTTTAAATTTGCACCTATAATAAACCCTGAAGGTGTGCCTTGGATTGTGTCAGTCTGTCACATGAGCAAACATAATGAATGTACAATTAAATGAGTTAATGAGTAATGTGATACAGCAAGAAAGCCCTCCTCCTCATGGCAGAATGCATCCCATAAAAGCAGCAGGGGTTTTCTACTAGCTTTTACAGCACAGAGAAGGCAAAGACACCACCTGTGGTTCTAAATCAAAAATGAGACTCTTGCAGCTCTACCCACCTCGGCTGTCCCACCAGGACCCATAGTGGATCAGCGCTCTTCAGCACAGGGGCAGGAGACTGATCCACAGAAACCTCTGCTTATCTTCTGCCCATGCTCAATTCACTGGTTCTCTGCACCCCAGGAAATTCCTCTTGGTTTGACTGTAATTGCTTCAAGTTGATTTTGTCTTTTTGGCTCTGTGGTTGAACAGCACTCAGAGGAATAACCTCTGGGCATGAAAATGGGCTGGGAAAATCTCTAAAAGGCAAACTGGGGAAATCCAGAGCTGAAAATTCAGTGCATACTTTCATTCAAAGGGTAGACCCATGCAATTGATTGGTGCTGCAGTTGTCTCTGCTGAAGTTGGCCTAAAGCCCCTGCTTGGTGGAGTGGGATTTGCCCCCTGTGAGCTGCCAGAAATCAGCCCGTCTCCTGCAGCAGCTCTTCTGTGAAGGCTTTGCGATTGCCCTCCCACTTCCAAAGAAGTGAGGAGTCCCTGAAGCACAACTGATGAACATCAGAGCATGGAGGAATTTTACAACAAACTGCCTGTCCTGGTTTAGGGCAAATTTGGGAGAAAATATCCAAAGGGGCCCCTCCAGAAAACAAACCCACACGGCCCCTCCCCACAATCGGTTCGGGAAGGATTCCTCAGAGAGAAGTGGAAAGAACCTGTTTATTTAACAGGCACAGCACTCCCCAGCACACAAAATGAACAATACCGGATGACACCACTCTTTCACCACTCTGAAAAAGATGACAAATTCAGAAAGTCTCTCTGGGGGTGGTCGCTCTGTTCTCAGTCCCTCCGGTGCTGGGGCAGCTGCTGCCCAGAGTAGGCCCCGCTAGGCCTCAGGGTGCAAACTCTCCGTGTTCCCAGGTCCCAGTCCAGAGCAGGTTCAAGTGATTCAAAAAAGGGAAAGGAAAAACAATCTAGGGAAAAATTCAGACTGCTCAGCTAAGCTAGCTAATGAGCAGAAGCAAAAAGCAAGAGCAAAGCAGAAGAAAGAGCGAGAGCAAAGCGAAAAGCAAAAGCAAAAAGTAAAAGCAGCACCATGTACTGCCCTGTCTGTGTGTCCTGCCAGCCGTGGGGGAGCGGCTGATAAGAAAACAAAACAAAACTTTCACTCTTCAGAGCCAGTCCTGAAGGCACAGAACATAATATCCAGCATAAACAGAACAACAACCGGGGATACAAGCATCATAATGTCACCCTAGGACAGTGCCTGATTGCTCAGCCCTCCTGTGGCTCAAGAGGGAGGATCAGTGCATGTGTCCCAACTGCCTGGGCCCTGGGTCTGCCCACAATGAGAAGTGGTTTTGTCCCCATAAAAAAAATTAATTTTCCACAGAAGTGCCAGCTGTTATTTCAGAGGCAGCTCTCTGGGTCCAGGTCATTAAAACCAGAGTATCACAGTAAAATCTTTGGGTGTCTGGAATTCCTCGGAAGCCCTGAAGCTGTCTCTGAGGAAAAATGCAGCTGTTTGTTCACCAGCACAGGAGCTCCCTCCTCTGCAGCCTTGGCCTTTCCCAGCTTCCTCTGTGAAGGTGGAAGGGAATTTCAGTGTATCTATTCAGTCATCAGCTGATGAGCTGCCAACAGCTCTGTTAATTTTCCCCTGCTGTAATAGGCAGTTTAGGGCCCCAGCCAATGACCAGGGAAGCTGCTGGAAAGAGTCCCACTGATTTCAATGGCTGTCCAACAACACACAGCCATATATGCTGAAAATGAAGCACAAACCACACAAATCTGCTTCTCACAGGCCACAGGACTGTCCTCTGTTATTCATAATTATCATGATTATTGTCATTACTGGATTTGAATTAATGCCCGTGAGTGCAGATGGACAGAGATTTCTCTGAGCACCAATTCTGCCATTTAACCAGGGCTTTCTCAGAACTTCAAACAAAGAAGAATGGTTCCAGATGCCATTCTTTTCCTTTGCATCCCCACAGCTGCTGACCAGCTATGATGTCCACAGCAAGAACTAAATTTCTCTAAGTGAATTGTAAAATCTGTCAAAAAATTCTTTACATACAACAATAATAAAAACCTTAAGCTGAACAGCAGAAATTGCCAAAAGAATATTAACAAGTTAGCTAAAGACAGGGATCATTAACACTTAAAAAAATATGACTGCTCTGTAGTTTAAAGAACTGTAATTTCATCTTTGAGGTCTATAGATAACAGTGGGATTGTGGGAAAGGAAGTAGTTCTGTCAGCTCTGCATGAATCCTATTAACACTTTTTTTTATTAATAAAAGGAGCTCAAAATCTATCACCACTTTGATCTCAGTTCAGTAAAGCTAATCTTAGTGTTGGTTTTAACATGGACATTTAATTGCATTTAATCACCTTCTGCAAAAATCAATTTAGCTGACATGATACTGGCCAGGACTGGTCAGCAGAGATAAGAGCTGTGTTCTAGCTACTCCATCCTATTACACTCACCTCTAAGCAGGCAACTAATTAATGTGGTTATCCCCAGAACACCCTTGGGAGGAAGGAAAATGCTGTTTCTGTTTATTTGTTGTTTCGGAGTTTTTTTTTTCAGATGAAGAACTCAGGGAATAGCAAAATTAAATGGCTTCCACAAGAACATGTGTTAAATCTCTGACAGTGCACAGAATGAGCTCCTCGTTTCTACCTGGCACCCTTATGTCTAAATCCATTCTTTGCCTGCATTAATCACTATCAAATCTGATGCTGATCATAACCTGTTGTGGCATTCATCTTTTCTTAAACTACTCGTTTGAACACTGCTCAGATTTCATAGAATCATGGAACTGTTCAGGTTGGAAAAGGCCTCTTAGAACATGGAGTCCAATCTTTAACCCACCGTGCTCACCATGACCCCAAATGCCACACCCACGCACCTTTTGAAAGATCCAGGGATGGTGATTCCAATGCCTGACCTCCCTTCCAGCAAATAATTTGCTCCTAATATCTAATTCTTATCTAAATCTTCCCTGACACAACTTGAGGCCATTTTCTCTCATCCTTTTGTAGCCACCTTGCCCTGCAGAGTATGAACTTCACGGCAGTGATCAATGCACACAAGGTTTTCCACTGAGAGCACAAAAGTGAATTTCAGGCATATTTTACCATGTAGTTTGCTTGGAAAGCTCTGAGCTTGCCTCGTGGCATCCTTTGTAATTCATGTCACATCTTAGATCTGCATTATTAACCATAACATTTTTCATTTACAGAGCATCCTCCAGCCAAGGATCTCAGCACACTTCCTATTTATTATTAAAGCCTTTCAACATTCCTGCAGAGTGAACTTGACATCATTTAAGAGATGGAAAAGCTGGAACACAGAGAGGAAAATTGAGAAAAACATGCAGATTTGTACTTGTACTGGGGAAAGAAAACCAACCCTGCTATGTACGTTTGAAAGTTCTCAGGCTTGACAAGAGTAATGAAGTTGTTTAGCCAAATTTGATCATCACAGAAGTGCCCAAAGATGATACTGCCTGACACAGTCAATAGCAATCCCCAAGCAGCAAGGAGAATATTACATTTTTTTTTGTTTTCTTAACACCAAATGTACCTGCAATTATCCATGGCATGTGCTTATATTTACTCTACACCAATTCATACAAGTTTGATTTCCCTAATAGCCAAATTTCAACAAAGCCTTGTCAAAGGTGACTTGTGCCAGCTCTCTGTTCTAGCCTTGGAGTGTGTTTGCTGTGTTTAATTGGCCTTCAGTAGCTCCTGCCTCCTGTCAACAATAATTCACAATTGGCTGAGTGACCTGAAAGAGCTCCCTATTTTCAGGACAATGTTGTTTTTAGTGGAGTCACCAGCAGATTCCCTTGGGGTGCTTCAGTGTGGGTGAGCAGCTCATTCAAGGAGCACTCATCAATGCCCCAGGTACAGTTTTGTTGATTCAGGTTGTAAGAAAATCAAATTTTCCCTACTTTGTGACTCAAGTTTGTGATATGGAGTGCAAAAAAAAAGGATGGTTTATTTTGAAAGCACCCTAAGGTTTTTCAAAAGAAGAAAGAAAACTACCATTCTTTTTTACAATTGAAATCAGAGATGTTTAATATTATGGGAACTCAGCACATCCCTCCGGATGTCCAGAGTTGCCGAGAACCCCGTCAGGGGGCTCAGAGACCCTGGCATACTGCCCAGAACGCCTGCTGGCTTGATTTTGATCCTTCCAATGAATTGCCAGCTTGGCATGGGGATGTGAAAGCCACATAGGTTTGAATGGTATAATAATAAAGTATTCACAGGGTGAAAATACAGATTTTAGGATTTTTGGTATAGGGGTTATGGGGACAAGATAGAGGAAAAAGGCCGTGTCTAGTCCTTCTTTCTTCTTCTTGTTCTCCATTTTCTGCTGTGATGCTGGCACTTGGGGATTGGTTTAGAACAGAAGTACACTGTCTAACATAGGTGATAGCTATTGGGAATTAAGAGTAAATATGATATACGTAGTTTGTAGTATAAAAAGACAACACCACCTCAGGGGAGGTCAGAGTGCCTGTGGCTGCCGTGCTGAGCAGATCTCTGCTGGGCAGAAAGAAAATTTCATAGATAAGAATTAATAAACAACCTGAAGACCAAAAAGTGAAGAGTCCAGACTCATTCTTCAGAGCGTGGTCTGCCTCAGAACCATCCCATGCATCTCGGGGCAGAGAACAGACAGCCGACCCAAGATAATATACTCTATGTCTTCTAAAATACAAACCAATCTTGGGGTACTCTCTAACAAGCATTCTGGTGTGAGTAAAAGAAAATTAATCTGGCTTCAACTTTGCTGCCAACTTGCGGGGCTGCCAAACAGGCGCTGCAGCTGAGTTGTAGCGCTGAGATTTCGTGCGGCAGTTCTGCCACCTGCAGGCGCTGGGAGCAGCCCTGCAAGGGCTTTGCCTGCCAAGCTCTCCGTGTACTTCTTTTTTTGGGCTGATGAGGGAAGAGTCCGCAGCGGTCAGCCCCGACCTTCGACCCATAAAAATATTTTGTTTCGCTTTTTATATATTAGGATAATTATTTAACTAGTCTGACTCACTAGCTGAGCTTGCTTCTTCCCTATCATTTATATACTGTGGTTATGAAGAAGGGACAATGAAATCAGTTTTGTTAAGTGACTTTTGGGATGGGTGGCAGGTGTTAGAACAAGGCCAGGAATAGCTACAGCCTCCACCAAAGCCCAGCAGCTTTGGGGGTGACAATCAGACAGACCCCCAACACCATGTGTGCCCAAACTAAGCACTGCAATGAGTATGGATGGTGTAATCACTTTGGGGAATTTAGGCAATGAGCTTGAAAAGCCTCTTTTTATACAAAGAGAGGGAAATGGAAGTTTTCTAACAGACATAACAGTACCCTGGTAAGGCTGTGTAGTCTTACAGCTCTGTCTTAGGAAAGGAGCTGTTTTCAAAGCTGGGGCTAAGTGCCACACAGAGGATTCCTGTCCAGGTGCCCCACAACCACGCTCTCACAAAGCTCTCCTGAGAATCCTGACCACTGAGTGCCTCTGTTCACATCCTCAGGCCAGAGATGATCACAGGCCAGTCTTGGAGCTGTCACCTTGTCTCCTTGAAGCTTAATTTTCTTAGAATTAAGTCATAACACACACAAAATAATTAAAAGAAGTTCTCTCATCCCTCTTTCCTAACCCCAAGGGACATTTTAGAATAAATACTACTTACCAGCTGCAAAACAATCTTTGTTTGATAGAGACACTTGCTTCCACCTTAAAGATATTAAAGGGGGGCTGTGAGAAAGATAGGGACAGAGTTTTTAGCAGGGCCTGTTGCAAGGGGTGATGGTTTTAAATGGAAAGAAGGCTGATATTTATTAGATATGAGGACATAAGGCTGCTCTGGTTTTTGGATGACTGAGAGATGGACCACAGCCTGGAGGAGAGGGGACAGCTGTGACACTGTGAAAGGTTTGTGCTACTGCTTTTTCAGCTGGGAGATAATGCTCAGGGTTTCATCAGAGCACCCATCCAATTCTGAGCTGAGTTTGATGCATGGTGGGTAGTTGTTGGATGGAGGTGCCTGGAGATGGGCAGGACTACTGTGGCTGGGTGTTTCTCCTCTTCCTGCCTCAGAGAAATAGCTCTTGCAGAGGAGTGCAAGATCAAATTCCAAACCCAGGCTGCTGCTCCCCCTCTTTATTTAGAGTTGGGTTGATGTCCCATCTATCAGCTCACTCAAGCTCAGTGAAGCTTCTGAACTTCCCATTAGACAAGAACAATTCCCCAAAACATAGGAGGGGCACAGACAGACAAGGGCTTTTCACTCCTCAGCAAACACCACTTGCCACCACAAACCTCTCCCAAGGAATTTCCTGCTTGGTACCACTCAGGTTTGCTTACACCTGGCAGGAACATTAATTGCTTTGGTTAAGACAAGCAGAATTTCTGTGTCCACATGGACATGTCTGTGGCACAACTACTGGAAAATAACTGTGGGTGTGCTGAGCTGGGTAGGAGTTGTTCCCAGGGTGGCCACAAGCACTTTGCAATGCACAGATTACACATTCTGGCCTGGGTGCTAAATACCTGTATGCTGACAGAAATGGTGCAACCAAGTATTAGGATTTGGAGGAAAGCACAGCAAAAATATTTTGTTTTCTATATTGGGGCCTGTGTTCTCTTTTATCCTCACATTTTGTGTGTCTCTTCCCAAACCCCCTTCTCTTTTCTTTTGCCAAAAGCATCATGGGGAGCACCCCCCTTCTACAATACCTTTTTCCAGTCCCAACTGCTCTCTCCTGCCCAGTTCTACCCTTTTTCTCTTTTCATTCCTCATTTACAAAAGACAGAAAGGAGCTACAATTTCGACACACACCAAAGGGATTGTTCCTAGCTGTATAAGCTTTGCCTTTGTCACAGTGCCATCATCACTGGAGCATGGACTGCTGGCAGCTGAGCTGCAGCCTTTGGGCACCTCCAGCAAGCTCAGTTACCCAAAAGAAGATTTGTCCCATGACTCAAGAACTTGGGATCTGTTCTGGGACAGACAATTCCTTTGAGACTCCAAGTAACACCTTTCACCTCTATGTGAGCTTGGTCCATTCCTTTAACCTTCAACATATCAAACATGATAAGGAAGATCTTTGTTTCAGAGCAACACAGTGAGATGGCCCAGAGGGACATTTAGCTTCCGTATGGAAATGAGATGCAAATGAGCACCCAAACCTACACAAGTGCTGTCCCCTGGGCAGTGTGAGGTTGCAAATGGGAGGTGCCTGGCCTGTCCTGTGATAACTGCAGTTCCTTTTATGGGGACACACAAAACCTGAGGAGCTGTTGGCACGGTGCTCTGGCCAGGATGAATTTCTGTGTTTTTCTGTGATGCTGATTTCCCCAGGAGTGATTATTAGAGATAATTTTTTTTCTTCCCTGTCCTGTGGCATTGAGAATGAATTTCTCCAACAGCATTATGGGACATTGAGCTTTGCTTTCAGATATTGCTCATGCCTTGTTAGATGATGGAAAACCAGCACTACAACTCAACCTGCAGCACTAGGTACAGAAATATTTCTGTTATATAGGAAGGTTAGATTTATGTTATAGATACATATTTTAATATTGGCCTTTTGCAAATATTAAAATGGTTTCTGTATGTGAAGTTTAGAGTAACTTTGTTATAAATATATAGTATTTTTGTTTCTACTTTCAGTTTTTATTTCTGTTGTTAATTAAGCTTAGATTTACTAGTGAAATAGCTGATATAAATATCTTTGTGTTAAATGCCTGCTTGGATGGGATAACATCCACTAAACATATGAAGAAGACACCTGCTACTGATATGCCAACTTTCAGCACTCACCATCTGAAGACAATGTGGGCCAGGGCCAAAACTGAAGATGATGATAAAAAAGGACTAAAACCACATCCAAGAAATATGCATGCTCTAAAAAGATGGACCCAGGGAGGAGATATGCTAAATAATTCTTGGAACATGTAAACTAGTTTGGAGGAAAGCTTCTTATGCATAAGGGTCTATGAATATGCAACAGGCTGATGGAAGGGGAAAGGTACTTAAAGGGTATCTCCAAAGATAAGTGCCAAGATGCCCCCACCATAATAACCCCTATGGTCCTTGCCTCCTGCTGTCATTTATTAAACTTTTTACAGAACAGTGAATGTGTTTTTCACAATTATGAGTGAGAGGAATAGCGGATTTGTCTTTCCAAACAAGCTGTGGGTCTGCTGGTAGATAAAACTAGCACTGGTGGGAAGGATTCCACTGATTGATGAACGGAAAAAGGTATTTGCTTTTACAAATAAACTTTAAGTTTGCTGATAAATGAAATTAGACATTGAAAGATGAAAGAAAGAATGGGGTAGAAAAAAAAAAAATTCCATAAGAATTAAAAATTAAAAGGGAGGGTTATACATTAGAGAGAAAATTTTGGTATCAGGTGTATTGGAAAGTCTGTACCTCTCAAGTACCTCAGCCAATAGGGAAAGACAGAAGGGAAATGTGGGTGGGAAATTGGGATAAAAAAGGAGGCTGCATCCTCCAAAAACTGGGGAGATCCCATAGGGATGTCCCATGGCCTCTCTCTTTATTCAAATAAAGTAAAAGGACTCCTCTGTCTCCTTTTTATACATAAACCTCTGGTATTTGTGGATTAATTTTCCTAACAGGAGGAATTTCTTCACAGAAACATTGATTAGACAGTGGAACAGGCTGCCCAGGGAGATGGTGGAGTCTCCATCCCTGGGAATGCTTGAGGAAAGTCTGGACATGGCACTCAGGGCCATGGTCTGGTTGGCAGGATGGTGTTTGGTCACTGGTTGGACTCAGTGATGTCAGAGGTCTTTTTCCAGCTGTGAAAAAAGTGTATTTTATGATTGGCTTTTCACAAATATTAAAATGAATATTATATGTGTTGTGTTAGAAAGTTATGCTGTGTTAATTCTCCAAAGTAGTGTGTTAAATATAGTTTTAGGTTATAACATAATGGTAAAATAGAAACTATGCTATGTAAGATACTTTTTTTAAAGAAAGGACTTGCACCGAGATAGCAGCCACAGGACACCTGAATCTTTCAGAGAAAAAGAATTTATTGCCCTCTTATCAGAAGAAACAAACTTCTTCCTGCCTCACTCAATCCTGAAAATGCCATCAGAATTAAGAGGAAGAAGTTGACACTGACCGGACAGAATCCTGTATTTGAATGGAATGTATGCATCAAGGATGAGATGCATGAATATGCAACAGGTTATCGCTTTTAAGGGTTAATCTTCTGTTAATGTGGGTCCTTTTTTGAACTTATTTTGCCCAGGAAGAGGTATCCGGATATCTGTAACTCTTTTCATTGTCTTGTATTGTCCTAATTCAAATTGTCCAAATTATTATTACTCTAATTATATTGCTATTTTTATAACCATTTTATTACTATTAAACTTTTAAAATTTTAAAAAGAAGCGATTGGTGTTTTTCACACAGTTTAATTACTGGCAGTGAAGTGCATGGAGGGAGAGGCTGGAAATCGCAGAATCACAGAACCTTTTCCAACCTTTTCCATTAGGT